TTAGCTATGATTAATTAATGATGAACATGCCATTTTCGTTTATGATCGATTTCATCACGATTCTTGTTTATACATTCTTATTGCTCAAAGGAGAGTTCAATAGTGTTATAAAAAGCTCGAAGAATTCCAATTGGATATCTTTAACCATTTCTAAAAGACAAAGGTTCAATTTTTCTGTTACACGATTTGGACAATTTTGCTGTTACACCCGGTATGTAAGCCAACAGTTCTGCACTTGTATATAAATACTTGTCAAAAAATAAAATCCTTGCATTGCCATGATAAGGTCCATCGGAGGACGAAAAGCGACAGATAAGTTTTCCTTTTGTCTTTATTCAGATTATCCTTTTACAGATATCTTCCTCTTTAGCTGCCGTGTCCCTTCGGGGTGTCGCCGATCATGGCTTCCCACAGCTTCCTAACCTTTGTAGCACTCAATAAATCGTGTCCTTCTGCTATTTCTCCCTGTTCCGCCATCTATTTACCGTAATTGCCCATGTTTAATACGCATTTTTTCTAAAAAATAACTGCGGGGTGCGTATTATGTACAGCTACAAAAAATCTTTGAAAAATTGCCATAAAATTAAATAAGAATTATCATAAAACTAAATTAGAATAATATTATTCTATGTTTAAAACCATTTTTAAAAAAATAAGAGTTGGAAACGCTGGACGTAATGAAATTGGAGAGGTACAATTTATAGGGTTTGATTACCAAACAAGGGGTGCGTATTATGTGTGAGTAGAATAATTTTCTCACACTTTCATAACAATTTTAGGTGTGCGTATTATACATGGGGAAATACGCTATTCAAGCTTGTAAATAAGTTACGCGCTGTTTTCTTTTGTTTCCTCTTGCCTTCAATCTGCCCTGTGAGTATCACAATTTCCAAGCCCTCTTTTCTCATTATGTGCCCTAGAAAACTCAGCTGTCTCTTCCTGATGTTAAGCATTAATTTCCTTTTTGCTTCCACTTTCTCCAAAACTTCGTCTTTACGCACATGTTCTGTCTATGGTATCCTCATCATCCTTCTGTAGAATCACATTTCTGTTGCTTCCAATCTATTTTTCATCTTTGAGGTGATTGTCCAGCACTAACTTCCATATAGGAGGACAGATATCACATAGCAGTTTAGTACTCTTTTCCTTGTTTCTAGCGAACTTTTCCTATTTCTTAATACTCTGCTTAGCTTTTGGAATGCTTCTTTGGCTATCCTAATACGTCTTCGGATTTCAGTGTCACTCTTTCCTTACTCTGTTAAAACACTTCCCAGATATTTAAATTTTTGTACCTGTTTGATATTGATATATCCAAATTTTAACTTACATTTTGTGCCTTTTGCTAACCACCATGCATTCTTTCTTCTTGCTGTTGATGTTTAATCCTTTCTTTTCGCTTTCCTTCATTATCTTCTGTAGGAGTTTTTTGTAGCTTTCTTTATGTGTCTGCTATCAACACTGTGTCATCTGTATATTTTATATTGTTAAGATTGTGGCCGCCTAATATTTAAATTTCCACACTTGTTTGATATTGATATCTCCGGTTTTCACTTCGCACTTTGGGTTCGACATTTTGTTAACAATCCTGTGTTTAGAACTTGGTGCTTAAATCATAACTCTGGAGACGTTTTGGTCTTTTCAGGACCGTTCCAAGTGTTCCATTTTTTTTTCCTTTTTCCCTTTCTCTTTTATTCTTCTTTTATTTATCGTATTTATTTTTTTTATTTTCCCTTGAATTCCATCTCTTTCTTTTTTTCTTCAAATTCCATTTCATTCTCCTTTCGATGATTTCTTTGACTCGCTTCCTTCATTTCATCTTTTTCCTTAATTCTCTCTATATTTTCGTCCCTTCTCTTTTACTTTTAGTTCTTTTTTCTTCTTCATTCCCCTGTATTGCATCATTCATTCTCTTCCTTCCTTCTTTCCTTCCTCAACGCATTTTTCTTTCTTTCTTTTTTTTTTGCACCTCTTTTCCTTTCAATTGTTTATTCTTCCTTCGTTGCAATCGTTTCTTCATTCGTTCGTTCGTTTTCATTCTTTGTTTCATTCTTTCTTTCTTTTAGTTGCTTTTCTTCCTTCTCTGTAATATATTTCTTTGTTTTCTTCTTTTTTTTTCGTTGTTTCTCTTCTTCTTTTCAGTTGTCTTTTTTTTTACTTCCTTCTCTAAAATTATTTTTCTTAGTTCTTTCTTTCTTTCTTATTTTTATTCTTCCTATTCCGTTTTTCATTATTTTTTTCGTTCTATCAATTTTTTTCCTTTTTTATTTTCTTTCATTTTTCCTTTTTCGTTCTTTCGTCCTATCTTTCTTTCTTTCTTTCTTTCTTTCTTTCTTTCTTTCTTTCTTTCTTTCTTTCTCTCTTTGGTTTCGTTGTTTTCCTTCTTTCTTTTACCTGTCTATACTTCCTTCTCTAATATACTTTTCTTCGTTCGTTTATTTCTTTCTTTTTTGCCTCGTTCATTCTTTTTCTTTTTTCTTTTATAATCCTTGTCATCGTTCAAACTTTTCTTTCGTTTGTTCATTTTCATTCATTCTTTCTTTTCTTAGTTACATTTCCATTATCTGTAATCGTTTTCTTTCTTTCGTTCGTTCTTTCTTTCTTTCTTTCTTTCTCTTCTGAATCCCTTACATTTTTGTTTGTTTGATTTTTGTTTGTTTGTTTTTTCTTATAGTTTTTCATTCTTTCTCCACAAAATCTCTTGACTTTTCTTTCTTTCTTTCTTTCTTTCTTTCTTTCTTTCTTTCTTTCTTTCTTCTGCCTCATCCTTGTACATTTTAATTGCTTTCTTCCATCACTTTCTTCCTGCAATTGATGCTTAGTCCTTTCTTCTCGCTTTCCTTCACTACCTTCTGTAGGAGTTTTTGTAGTTTCCTTTCCGTATCTGCTATCAACATTGTGTTACTTTTCTATCTTATATTGTTAAGATTGTGACCACTAATAATGAATCCTGGTAGGACTTCTAGTTCTCTCACTTTATACTCTATTTAAAATTTTTACACGTTCTTTTTACTTACTCCACTACCCGTGACCCGTTAGGTCATTGAAGGTTGAGGTTATAAAACATTGAAGTTGCTTTCAACATACCATTCAAATGAATGTTAATTTTATTATGATTCAGTTAAATATTTCAATTCGTTCCTGTCATCATTGGTCTGGTTTACAAGTTCGTGTTTAACGTTTTATTGATTGTTTACAGCATTCAACAGGAATAGAACATCTGGGATAAACTTGAACTTTAAATAAGATTAACTTGGAAATATTTTTAATATGTCAAAAAATAATTTAAAATCATATTCACTTGAAAATATTTTTAAATATGCCAACAAATATTTTAAAAATATTTAAAATATTGTTTGTTTAAAGAAAGCCGAAATATAAACACTTATTGTACAAACAACTGGACGAAACAGCAAATCGGGATCTCTTTGTGTCTGTCTTTAACTTAAAAATATATTTTAATTAAAAATTTTCTGTTTGAAGAAAGTTAAAATAAAAGTACTTACTGTATACCCCCCCCCAAAAAAAAACTCGTATTTTTTAAATCTTATTCACTTAAATAATTATGTGCCGGACGGACGTGCCACACAAGCAGGAACACAATCACAGCCTTTTTGTATTATATAGATAAGACACCAGAAGTGTTGAAACAAAATGGCTATTTTTGTAGTGATCTTATAACATGCTTATGTTATAATCTTTGAATAAATATTATTATATAAATATATTAAAGTTTATAAATTATTATTTATATATGAAATTTTGTAAATTATTTATATATTTATGTACTAAATTTGGTAAATTTTGACACTTCTAAATTTAATTTATTAGCCTTAAAAACAAATGGCCCGAGAAAGAATTTAAAATCTCGAAGCGATTCGAGACTTGGTTAAGAACCGCTGAGTAACGCTAAGTAAATATCGTTTTATCTATAAATTATTTGGAGACAGTTAATGTGTTTGTAAACGAGCGTGTACACATATCTAAACACGTATTCAGTAATTAAGTTTGCCACATCTGTCACGGGTAGCCGTTTTTTTTTTTTTTTTGTGGTGGAGTGGAGTAGAATCCAATCATTTTGGTATAATTATTCGCTGCGGATTTGCAATTAGGGTAACAACGCCTGTTGGATTCATTCATATTACACTCACGATTTCTTTCCTCCTACTTTTCTTCGATAATCTTTAGTTGTCATTCATTTACCCTTTTCAACATTCTCTCTCTTTTCTTTTCTTTCTTTTTTTTTTTTTTTTTTTGTCACAACTACGCTCACGGGGCCCGGAAAGCGAGCAATGTAATCTATTAAAAACCTCTTAATAAAGAAAACGAATGTAAATTTAATATCGTATATACGAAACTGACATCTCCACGTTCCTCGGTACAGTAAATAGAAATAAGATAATATAATTTAGAACGAAGCGCCAACTATGGCGACCATTAGTAACAATAAAATGTCTATGAATAAATTCATTTCTTAGTATTAATCTGCCTACACTGTGCGTAAATATTTTTAGCGGTTAAAACGGGAAAAGGACTCGACGTGCCGAGTTCAAATTCTGACGGAATCTGTTTTCGTTCACTCCCCACAAATGCCCGAATAATACAGAGATCATTGTAAAGAAGGAAAGGAAAAACGAAAGATGAAAGGAGACAGAGAGTGTTATGAAAAGGAAAAAGAAAAGGAAATAGTGGAGAGTCAGTAATATTACAGACGATAAATATAATGTCTGGTTGATTGCTTTTAAAATGATATAAGGATTGCCTTTATGAAGAAAGCAAGGAAGATGAAAGAATACAGAGAGTGACAGCAAAAGGGAAAAGGAAAAGGGAAAGGAAGAGAGTGAGTGATTTTAGAAATAAAGAGAGATCGTCTTAAAAAAGACGAGGAAGAACGATAAAGAAAAAATGGAAGGAAAGAGAGTGGCAGGAAAGGGAAAAGGTAAAAGAAAAGGAAAAGGAAAAGGAAGAGAGTGAGGTATTTTAGAAATAATAGAGAGATCGTC